TCATATCTACTCTGGTGGGCGTAGCCATCTACTTTCGATGCCTGGTGACCAAGGAGCACCAGGCAAAGATGAATGAGGTGGGCACGTCGAGCTTCTTCAACGAGGCGCAACAGGCACTGGGCCGGGTAAGGCGTCAGCCCTTTGTACCCCTTTGTGAATCTTATTTTGGTTTTTGATGTCCTCTACTAACTTCATTGTTTTTTAGGCTTCAGTGCTTTATCATGAATGCTTCCTCTGGTACCGCTTGGAGATTAGCCAGCTCGAGTTCGATCTCAAAGAGCAGGTCCGGAAGAAGGACATGTACAAGGCTTTTAGTGAGCAGTAGGACGAGGCCCTCAAAGACCTCCTGATTCTCCAAGTCGAGCTGGAAAAAGCTCAGAAGGAGGCCTCGACTCTGAAGCGGGAAAACACTAACCTGGTGGAAAAAGTAAAGATTTTTAGGCCAAAAACGAGCAGCTAGTCGTGGTGACTAACAGCACAACTTCACAGGTCTAAGAGAAGATAGACCGGATCAACCAACTTCAGACTAAGATGGATGAGGTCAAGGTCACGACCGAGGTATGGAAGGGCAAGATGGACATGCTGGCTTCAGAGAAGGAAGCTGCAAAAGCGGAGCTGGCATCGGTCGAGAACCAACTCCGGGTGGCGAAGGGAAAATTCGATAAGTGGTCTTGGCTAAATGATGATCTCCGGGAACAGCTGAGCTTGGCCTTCACGGAACGAGATGCTCTCGGACAAGAATATGCAGCACTGAGATCTAAATTGGATGCAATCTCTACTGATGCTGAGGAAATGGTGGCTCAGTATAAGGTCGATGTGGAGTTAGCCGAGACTCGCTTAAAGATGAAGACTGGGTATATAAAGAGGCTATACCGGAGAGAGACCCTCGAAGAGATCCACGCCAGAGGTTTTGACCTATCGACCGAGATTGAAGAAGTTAAAAGGCTCGAGGCCGAGGCAAATGAGCTTTACAATCCTGAGGGTTCCGAGGGCTCCGATGGTTCTGGCGACGCCCCGGTGAAGACCAGGCATATATGCCTTAGTATTTTCCAGTTTTTCCTTATATATATTTTTTTTGTTTATTTTGAGGTTGTTCTATCGTGCCATTGTAAATATATTTTGGAGTATATAAAAGTTTCCCCTTTCTGGCAGTACCGTGTCTTTAATTTTCTAGCATCTACTTGCAAATTCTATTTGCGTATTGTTTTTAATGCCTTAGCATAAAATCGGATGTAGTCTGGAGCATTCATTTTTTTGGAGGTTCGAACGGATCCCGACTTCAATGCAACTTTGGTTTACTTGTGGCTTCAAACCCTTGGTAAGACCAAAGGTTTTTGACGATATTTTTGTCGAGGGTAACCTTTTAGCATGTTTCGATTTTTCGTAAGGGCCTTACTTTCTGGTTACGGATTTCGGACGTCTCCGAGTAGGGTGGTCGTAGCCTTTTATATTCGGGCACCGCCTAGTGGGTTTGGTGCCTCCGAGAATCAATAGACTGGATCATCTGAATTTTCATCGGGTGACAGTCCCCGAGTAGGGGTAGCCCGTGTGCTTGACAGTCCCCAAGCAGGGGTAGCCCGTGGGCTCTAGGATCCGGTATCGAAGAAGCAAAATGCGCAGTAATAAAGTGTAAGGGAAGTAGAATTTTCTTTCATTGCTTAGTATGCAAGGTACATGATCAAGGGCACATAAAACTTGTGTTGTGTCCAGAGTGGACTATGTGGGCACGGTTCATACGACCGTTTAACCCTTACAATAAATCCTAACCACCAAGCCTTAGGATCCGGGGGGTCATGGCCCCCAGTATCCGAGGTCGAACTAGCGAGGGCTCGGATACTGTTAATCTTAAGCAAACGATCATCGATTCCGATTTGAAACCGGTCTTGAAATCTAAGGTAACATGTTTTACTGTTGCCTCATTAAAAATCTTGCTGAAAAACTCACTTCAGGATAAAACCAGTTCAAGGAAAAAAGAGTGTAACACGTACTTTCAGACCTAATAGCCACATCCGTCCTTGGTTGATAACCTGCATACGTTGGTACGATTTATAACATAATTAGAAAATAATAGAGTTCGTACCTTAGAAGTAGTACCTCTTTAAGTGTGTCACATTCCATTTATTTAGTAGTTGTACACCGTTTCCCGCTTCGAGTTTATATGAGCCTTTACCGGTTATTCCGACATATTGATACGGTCCTTCCCAATTTGGGCCCAGTTTCCCTTCGTTCATGTTCCTGGTGTGTAGTGTTACTTTTCTCAACACCAAGTCTCCGACTTGAAAGTGTCGGAGGCTGTCTCTTCCGTTGTAATACCTTTCTATTCGCTGCTTCTAGGCGGCTAATCGGACTAGGGTGGCCTCCCGCTTTTCATCTAATAGTTCCAGGGTCATGATCATGGCCTCGCCGTTCGGCTCTTCGGCCACATACTGGAACCAAAGGCTCGGTTCTCCTACCTCGACTGGTCTCAAGGCTTCGGCTCCGTAAACCAAAAAAATTTGGGTGGCGAATATCATGCACAATCCCGAACTCTCGGGACGGTTGACCAAATGGGCCATGGAAATTAGCGGATACGATATCGAGTTTCGACCCCGGACCGCCACAAAATCTCAGATTTTGGCAGACTTCATGGACGACTTTACGCCGACCTTAATACCCGAAGTCGAAAGGGAATTACTATTGACCTCGGGGACCACTTCAGGAATCTGGACCCTTTTCACAGACGGTGCCTCCAACGCAAAGGGGCCCGGGCTCGGTATCGTATTAAAACCACCTACGGAAAATGTAATTAGGCAATCTATTAGAACTGTGATATTGACTAATAATGAGGTCGAGTATGAGGTCATGATTGCATGTCTAGAATATACTAAAAGCCTTGGGACTGAAATAATCAAAGCTAAATGCGACTCCCTCCTCGTGGTGAATTAACAGAACGTTTGAGGTAAAAGAAGATCGGATGCAAAGGTACTTGGACAAATTGCAGGTAAGAGGTCACGACACATATGGGGTAACATTGAAAATACGGTTTTAGCTTCCTGGAAGCGCTTAGCAAAGCGAGTGCTAACTTTTCTAGATGAGGATACCTTGATTTGGCGTCGCCTAGAGTTCTACTGACGTAATAGATAGGAAACTACGTACCTTCTTCATCCCGGACTAAGACACCACTTACCGCCACCTCAAAAACTGCCAAGTAGATATACAATTGTTTGTCTACCTTCGGAGTGTACAACAGGGGGGTCGATAGGTACCGTTTTAGTTCCTCCAAAGCTTTCTAGCATTCGGGGTCCAGGAAAAGTTATTCTTCTTTTTTAATAGCGAGAAGAATCGATGGCTCTTGTCCAAGGACCTCAAGATGAACTAGCCCAAGGCGACTATACGCCCAGTCAGTCTTTGAACAGCCTTGATGTTGTCTACCACAATGATATCCTCTATGGCCTTTATTTTGTAGGGGTTGATCTCGATGCCTCAATTGGATACCATGAACCCGAGGAATTTTTTCGATCCAATCCCGAATGCGCACTTCTCCGGGTTTAGCTTCATATTGTATTTTTTCAGTATGTCGAAGGTCTCCTGCAAATGTTTCAAATGGTCATATGCTTGCAGGGACTTGACCAACATATCGTCAATATAAACTTCCATTGATTTCCCTATTTTTTCTTCAAACATCCAGTTTACTAAGCGTTGATAGGTGGCACCGACGTTCTTTAACCCAAATGACATTACATTATAACAGTAGGTGCCGAATTTAGTGATGAAAGAAGTCTTTCCTTGGTCGTCCGGGTCCATCCGAATTTGGTTGTACTCGGAATAAGCATCGAGAAAAATGAATATCTCATGTCCGGCCGTCGCGTCGATCATTCGATCGATGTTAGGCAAAGGGAAAGAATCCTTGGGGCATGCTTTGTTCAGGTCTTTGTAATTTACACACATTCTTAGCTTATTCCCTTTTTAGGCACTACCACTACGTTAGCTAACCAATCCAGGTATTTAACTTCCCGGATGGATCCTATTTTAAGACGTTTGGATACCTCGTCCTTTATGAATGCGCGTTTGACCTCGGACATGGCCTCCTCTTCTGCTTGACCGGATGGAACTTCAGGTCCAATCTATGTTTATGAGTTGTTACCTCCGATGGTATCCCTGTCATGTCAAGATGGGACCAAGCGAAACAGTCTACGTTAGCTTTAAGAAAATTAATAAGTTTTTCCTTGAGCACGGGGTATCAGAACAGTGTTTTCGTTCAGATTTATCTTTACATAAAAAATAGCTAAATTTCAATTACTTTTGAAACTGTGGCTATTTTTCAATTACCACTTGTAAATCTGGCTATTTTTGAATTTTACCCATTTGCAATGGACTATAAAACAAAATCTTTCAAAATTAATGTTTACTTTGTATTATTTTCACACTTATCGGTCTATTTTGTATCTACAAATTCATATATAAAGAAAATATTATATATGTGTGAATTTTTTTGAACGGAGCATTGTGACCACTGACCAGTGTCAGGCGTGACCATTATAGAAAAGTGTCTTTTCCACTAGATCTACATGTGAATACATCACTAGCTACTATCGATTTAAATTTATTGTATTTTTAAATTTTTCTTAAAATATACATGCACATTTCCGAATCTATTGTAACCAAAAATTGTTAGTGCAATGATATTTATAATACGCTCAAGTAAATCCAGAATTTAAAGTTTATGTTCTAACTTAATATACAATAATTATTATTTTTACAGTCAAATATTTATAGATATTTAATAAATTTTTTGATGGAAGCCTTGGGGCAACGGTAATTATTTTTATATGACCTATAAGCCACATGTTCGAACTGTGGATTCAACCACTGATTCTTGAATCAGTGTAGACTGTCTACGTCACCCCCAATTTCTCTCGACCCTAATAAATACAAAGAGTGAGCAAAAACTTGTACGTTCGTTTAAACTCGTACCTGCTCATTCTATATATAGTAAGCATTCCACTTATAGCAGTAAACTAGCCAAATTGGCAGAACTCTAAAAGCAAATAGCTATGCGGAAATCTATATTCTTCATATTTCTCCTTTCTGTTTTGCATTCTTCTTTACTAGTGTCTTCAGTAGATGTATTTTTAGCCCCCATAACCAAAGACAACTCCACAAATCTATATTCTCTCTCAGTTTATCTCAAAACTCCATTGCAAGTCACAAATTTACATCTTGATCTTGGTGGTTCAATTAGTTGGGTTGATTGTAGTCGTCGCTACAAATCTTCCTCCTATCAACACCTTCTCTATAACACCTCGCTTTGTGAATCTCTCTATGGCAAGTGCTTCAAGAAACCCGCCCCGGGTTGTTTCAACGACTCGTGTGACTATTTTTGCGAAAACTCAGTCACACGAAATGTTTTTATAGGGAACATACTACTTGACTCGTAAGTAATTTAACTTCAACAGTTACAAATTTAAGGAAAACAATATACTTCATTTGTCTCAATCTGTTCTGCATTTTTTTTGTTACGAAAAGATAGAGAAATTTCTATATTTATAGTATTTACTGTAATGATAACTTTAATAAGTATTTAGTAAAAATAATTACATACTTATTTATTAGATAACTATGATAGATGTTTATTTCATTTATTAATTTGACGCAGACTCGCGTTATCTAGCGCGGACGGCCGGAATCCGAGTCGACTCAAGGTCATCAAAGACTTTATCTTTGCATGCTCTGATACAAAAATACTCCGGGGACTCCCTAACGGAGCCACCGGCGTAGCCGCATTGGGAAGATTCAACTATTCACTTCCATTTCAGCTTAGCAGAGCTGGCTCTTCTTCGGCGGTGTTCGCCGTGTGCTTGCCGAGTTCCGCTGCTGCCGGTAACGGCGTTGCATTTTTCAACTCCCTCGGACCTTACAACTTCCTGCCAGGAATTGATGTTTCAAAATCATTAATTTACACTCCGCTGCTTCTAAATCCAGTCGTTGGAACGGTGATATTTTACACACGCCCTTCCGACGAGTACTTCATCGGAGTGAGTTCGATCAAAATCAACGGCAAATCCGTGTCGTTGAACCAGACGCTACTGAAAATCGACATGGAGACTGGATATGGCGGGACGAAGATTACAAACGGCAATGTTCAAGGCGGTAACGGAGAGGTTTGTGGCGGAAGCGGAGGCGATGAATTTGACGGTGACAACTCCGGTGAAGCCATTCGAGGTGTGTTTTCCGGCGAAGGCGAAGGCGAAGGCGAAGGCGAAGGCGATTGCATTCACGCGCGTTGGACCGGCAGTGCCCACTGTTGATTTGGTTCTGCAGAAACCAGATGTGTTTTGGAGGATTTTGGGGTCTAATTCGATGGTTCGGGTTAAGGCCCAAAATGTGGATGTTTGGTGTTTGAGCTTTGTGGATGGTGGGCCTGAGCCCAGGACTTCCATTGTTATTGGCGGGCATCAAATAGAGGATAATCTGCTACAGTTTGATTTGGCCCAAAAGAGACTTGGGCTTAGTTCTTCACTCTTGTTCAAGAGCACCAATTGTGCAAATTTTGATTTCGCTAGCAGGAACTAGTTATGATGTCTATGTACATTTTCCCAGTTTGGTTTTTTCAATGATTGTTTAAATTGGAAATCACAAATGTTTGCTAAAACTTTACATCTAAAATTATGGCCAATCAGAATAATGGTCAAATTATTAAGAAAGTCATTTGTTCACCAACTAGGTTGTGTGAGCATGCATTCTATATGTTAACTTGGAATGCATGTCTGTCTCTCTTTCGCATTGTATCTTTCTCCTGCGAGCTGGTTAGATGCGTGAGGCAAAGAGCTCGTACTACCCCGTTTGATTGATCTAGCCCTTTTGGTGTGTTTTAACCCTACCTCGCGAGCTATTTCTCTATCTGTACAATATCAACTAGCCTTCAATTCCAAACTACTTTAAGTCAACTACAGGAATTCTCTGTATCCAAGAGGATTTTCACGCTGATCGACCACCTACTACAAATCTTCTTCTTTGATCAAGCTTGGGAGTGGTTGTGCAATTGCATATATACTATAGCTATCTTAAGAACTCAAAAAGAAAGAGAAACTAGTAAATAAAAGTGAGAGCATCATAATCAAGCTCAACCGGCCCAAAGAAGGCTTGCTAACTGACTCCAGTGCATGATAGTAAAACAAGTCAAAAATGCAAGGGGGTACCTGCGGGATTCCAAAACTTCTATATCTGTACTCACCATATACTCAGACCAAAAATTGTAGAAAGTTGTAGATCCTCTTGACAATCTAAGCGGCTATGTTACAACAAAAGTCCTCGAGTGCTCATCTAGCAAAAGTTCAAACCCCCTTCTATAATCATTTCAGCAGCAGTGCCCATGGCACCGACACCACTAGCTTCCAAAAGGGCCAAAGCTAACACTTCCTCGTTCAGTCGTTTCAATCCTTTGCTTAGCCTCTTTAAAACCTCAACATCCACCTCCAAAAGCCAGCTTGGTGTGCATCCGACCATTAAGCCTATGAATCCTGAAACATATGCTCTCCATGTAGCCTTGTTACAACCAAGTGATATTTTCCCATCTAGTGCACTCGCAAGAAACTCCAAATGTGCTCCAAGAATACTTGGCCGCCATTTGGATGCGGGTGACAATGAATCCACACCCCAAGCAAATGTTCCGGACAGAAGTGCAAAGTAAGCAAGGGCATAACCCCTTAGCCTTGCGACCATTCCTTCTGAGACCCCACCGTTGGGCTCTGATCTATGTGCTGATATAAACCAAGATGGCAATGTTTCTTTTAGCAAAGACTGGACCAAACTTAAACCACCTGTAATCCAAACTAGTGAAGCACCCAATGAAGCTGCAAGCTTGACACGGGTCATTGCTGCAGCAAGAGAGACCTGACAAAATGCAGGGAATCCACTTTCCATGTTATTACAAGAGAGAGAACTCATCGGATTTCTGGTTTTCTTGAGTTTCTCCAATTCCTCAGCTGGGAATCCACCATCCGCAATAATTCTGACAAAATGCATCAGAAGGGTGACGACCTCTTCTGCCATAAACATGACATTTCTGACAGCTCTATGAACACGCAAGTAGAGTATACCAGGGGCAACGGGAGAAATACCACCAGAAAAGTGCGAGCCAAACCCATGACCAAGAAGTGAACCAACACCACCATTGCTTTCTATAGAAGATGTACCTAGACCTAGTGTAGCTGTAAAGCAGACCCGAAGCAGTTGAACTACGGCATCACTGCTGTGGTGGAACACAGTCCGGGATGCAGAGAAAACAAGAAAGTCACTCCAGCGTCTAACCTTTTGCGCCCATAGGGCAGCTATAACAGGCATACATGGCCAAGGACAACTTGTAGCCAGGTTACTCAATGCTGTGCCCACCAAGTTCAGAAAGCGGTCAGTACCTCTATCAAGCTTATATGTAATGGTGAGGCTCGCAAGGACTGCCAGGGGCAAAGGAAGAATAGCTGGAGAATTTCCACCTACAAACACATAGCATTAGCTAAACAAAGGAAACAAATGAATGAGTAGTTAAATTCCCTGCACCTAATTCCTCCTAAGCACATATGTATTAGATACAGAGGCGGAGCCAGGATATAAAGTATATGGGTTCTGAACTAGCCATCGAACCCATAGCTCACAATTAAATAGTTATACATATTTAATGGGTTTTTGATACAAATACAGGGTCTAAACAAAAGCTGTTGGGTTCATCCGAACCCGTAACTCATACGGTAGCTCCGCCCCTGATTAGATAGATACGGTAGTCTAGGTCTGCCACATAGCAAAGTTAGCTATTTAGTCAGAAAATTTTGAGAATGATATTAAATTTATTTTTATTTTTTGAGAATGTATTTAGTCAGAAAATATAATTCGATATTTCAACAAAGGAGATTAGGGATCTAATCCCCCAAAACCGTACTTTAACGTCACGACAAAAGGAATGGAAAAAGAAGGGGGTGGGGGTAGGTTCGCGTTCAATCTGCCACTGTATGATTCCTCACCATTCCATCGAGAAATTCACACGGGGCGATTAACTTGTCACAACGGTAACCTGACCCATAGGTTAGAAGAAAGAGAAGAGGGGAAGTACGTTTCTAACGCCACAGTTCCTCTCATCTTATAAGAAACAGATGTCAGATGAAATCAAACGAGTACACACCTACAGAGAGACTTGGTACATCTACACCAGTAGCAGCTAGGATTTTCTTAATCTGTTGTTCCACTGTTGCTAAATTTGCAGCCGGACTTGGCCAATCAGTTCCATTCATAAAAGCAGGCTTCCAAAGACCCCGTGTCACTTCAGCTGAAAAGTAACTTGCAATTGTTGCCAAAGACGCAGGAAGAAAGTCAGCTAGATCCTTAAGACCTGAGATGGAGAAAATGCAGCGTTCAATATACTAAGACATAGAACTCATTAACTTAGACTTGACAGCATCATCTACGTGATAAGTTCAAGTTTCCCATGCGAATTTTCCTCTTCTTTCTATCTTTTTTCTCTGTGTTGCGTGTGTGTGTGCATAGTGAATATAAAGGGTCTATCAAGCAGTGGCCGCGTGTAGGAAGGAGACACAATATATCTTACATGAAAACTCCTCTTCTTCTCATTAAAAGGAGGTTAACGACTTCACTCTTTTTTTGTTTTTTTTTTTTTTTTTGGGGGGGGGGGGAGTTGTTGTGTGATATGACTCATAGCTCTGACAACTGGCTTAAGTGTTTCATCTCTCTCTCTCTCTCTCAACTGACAACTGGCTTAGGATTGCTCTCGAAGCCTTAGTGTAGACATTATATTCAATTGACAATTGCACTCTAATTTTATTAATCTTTATCAAATAGTCTAACCTGTGGCTAGTTCACGTGGTGACAATTGTCCGTGAGCACCGGCTGTCAGAGCAGCATCAAGCACAAATGGAACAGCTTCCAAAATATCCCATGCGGGCAACTTAAGATGAGGAGATATATCTTCGTTGCCAGACCCAGATGAGTTACTACCACCTGAAGTCGTTGGTGTAAGGGACTGACCAGCACTATTTATTTTTCTGAACATGAAGTTCAGCAGTGCTTCGACAATCTGATGAACCGGAGTTCCAGGGACGAGACCTGAGAGAGGTGAAGCAATACATGCTTGATTTTGCCGGTACCAACATTTTAGTTTCGGAAAAGAATCCATAAATATGGGTTCTTCAGGTAATCGACGTGGAGTTCTAGACAATTGCTTGCTTTTGCTTTGACCTTTAAGCAAATCTTCAGAGCATGCCAACTGGGAGTTACGAACCAGCAATAGGTATTCAGGAGTTAGATGGGATCCCACAGGAACATCTCTGGTGACATGCTCAAGAGGTGGCTGATCAAACCTCCACAACTTCAGCAGAAGTGTGAACGCATTCGAGAAAACAGCATGTGAATTAATCTTTTCCGACATTAGAGTCCATGATACATTGGGAGCACAAGAACCGAAGACTTCACAAATTGGCATCAATGCACCAGCAAGCTGTGGAACCTGGAGAAATTTTAAGTACACCGTCAGTAACACAGGAAACAAGAAGTTTGGTTTCTCCATCTTTATCTTAAGCCCAGCTCTACTCAGTATACTTTTCTCAAAACCTATTTTCAACAGAACTTTAGTTTTATAAATTGTTGTTCAGGTAACCTGTCTCTATAAAAGTAGTGCAACACTGCAGCTGTATGCTAGCATCTGATTCAAGTCTATGTGATTTTCACCGACATTAACATATAAATGACATCAAACATAATTCAAAACAAGAAAAGTGCAGCGGAAGTTTAACCTACCAATCCATGCAAAGAAAAGATCTGGATACAATCGATAGATGATATACCAATGAGAAGGACATTCAGAACTGGAGCATAGCTTATCAAATGGCTTTCATTTCCACAATAATCAGAAGGAATACAAGGTGAAAGCAACCTAGTGATGAATAGAACGGTATGTTCCTGCAAGCATGTAGATGAAAATACAGTGTGAATGAGTGTGCAAGACATAGAAATGAAATATACAAGACACCCAGTTTTGACCTTGAGAATGACTTTAGAATACCAGATTTTTAACAGGGTACCTCGTATCTGAATATATTTTCACTTCAAGGTAAAATCAAATATACTATAGATATAAGGGATTAGTGATGGTGGCTAGGTGAGTGTTCTTCCGCTCCTTCTTTGTTACCACCTTTCTTTATTTTTAACCCTTTCTGGGGGTTGCTGATCTAAACACAAACGGTAATGCTTCTCAACCTTGTTTACTAATAACATTGTTCACTTATTTATGTTTTTTTCTTCTCTTTTTTGTTCATTCAGTTAAGGTTGTTTTTTCCTCTGTGCAATACTCACAATGTTTGAGAGGAGATTTGACCTAAGGTAATGAAGGCTCTCAAAGAGGTTTTGCTGCTACTATAGCACAAAATACTGGTTTTAATCCCAGAGAGATGGCATGTGTTACCTGTATATTCCAACCGCGAGCAAGAGAGGCCCCACAGAGAATAGTAGCAGCAGAAATCTTTTCTTCATCGGAACCATCAACAGCAATCTCATATATTTTCTCTATTTCTGCTAAGCTTCCATCAAATCCATGAGCTTATTAAATTCAGTTTTCATACCACTGGATAAATATCAAGAAAGAGCAT